TTCTGGCTCCAGGGAAGGGGAACGAGCATTGTGCTGAGCTGGGACCTGGGTGAGTCCCATATCCAGGGGTTCCAGCACAGTTCCTGGGCCAGGATCCAAGATAGACCCTCATCTCTTCCACTTTTTTTTTGGTACTGGGGATTGAACTCAGCAGCATTTAACGACTGAGCCACATCCCCAGCCCTTTGTATTTTTTGAGGTGCTGAGGCTGGCTTTGAACTCATGATCCTCCTGTCTCAGCCTCCTGAGCTGCTGGGGTTACAGGTGTGTGCCACTGCGCCCGGCTCATCTCTTCCACTCTTGCCCCCTCCTGAGAAGTAGTGCCATCAGCTCATGGGAAACAAAAGAACTGTGGCTCAGCAAGGCTGGAGTTCTTCCCAAGGTCATGGACACTGAGCGGAGACTCATCTGCTGACTTCCAACTTGCCTCCCACCATTTACTGGGTCAGGAGCTCCAGTTTGAGGCTCTTGTGGCCCCTGGAGTTGCCCTCTATCGGCTCTTATAAAATTGGCCTCGTACTTATTGGGGTTCTGGACAAGAGGCTATAGTCCCAATACAGGGAAGGGCTGGACGCAGGTCCCATCCTGTGCGTTGCACGATGACAGGAAGGGAAGAAGGGATAAATAAGGTCTGGAAGCCAGTTCTTCTGCCTAATAAATCAAGAATTCTTTTGATGTTTTGGGGTCTTATGCCCAAGGAGGATCACCCACACAATCCTGCAGTTTGGGGGGCTCCTGGTCCCTTGTAGCTCACCCACAGGTCCCTAGGAATTGGGTCCCCAATTACAGTCAAGACCCTGTCCCAGGCCACTCCTGGTGACACAGCACACCTCACAAGCCTGGAGCACATGGGCACTTCAGCCATCTCCTCTCAGCTGAGGCCACAGTAGGTGGCAGCCCCTGGCTCGCAGTGCGGCAGTCCTGGCACCATTCTTCCCCCTGTCCTCACAGGGCCACTGCCTCTCCCCACAGGCGGCTGCTGAACAAGGATGTGTGAGAATGCCTGGTAATGCCACCTGGGCTGAGCGGGGAGCTCCTCAAGTTTCAGGGGTAGGGGCTACTTGAGACCCAAATCGGGACCCTCCACTGTCTCAGCAGGACCCTGACTCTCCTCCCTCTCCCCAACACCATCTTGGTCCCAGGGGCTGGAGAGGAGACAGGGTCCAAGGTTCAGCAACTTCCCCAGGGCCCAGAATGGTAGTGTAGACACAACAGGGGTCACCTTTGTTTACTGAGAATTTTCCACACCTCCAATTTTTTCTGCATGTTTTCTCACTGATTCCCAAATGAAGCCCCTACAATTAGCACTCCATTTTACAGAAGAATAAACTGAGACACAGAAAGGAGAGGTCGCCTGCTTAAGGAGCCCAGCTGGGAGGCAGGAGTGCTGGCATTCAGCTTTGGGTTAGTCTGGCCTCGGAGGGAGGCTCTAGACCACGAGGGGAGTGAGCAATGCCCTCCAGAAGTCACTGCTGATGTTTGGAGGTGGCTGTTCCTCTTCACACATGGGGTGCCAAGGATCTTCTGAGTGGAGGCAGATTTATACTCATTAGAAATTCTCAGGGCTGGAGGTGTAGCTCAGCCGTTGAATACTTGTGTAGCATAAGTTTGGGGAGGGAGGGAGGGAGGGAGGGAGGGAGGGAGGGAGGGAAGGAAGGAAGGAAGGAAGGAAGGAAGGAAGGAAATTCTCAGAGGGCTGGACATAATGATGCACATTTTTTAAAAAATGTTTTTTGATGCCAATGGACCTTTATTTATCTATCTATCTATTTACCTACCTATATATTTATTTATTTATATGTGATGCTGAGGATCAAACCCAGGGCCTCACACATGCCAGGCAACTGCTCTACCACTGAGCCACAACCCCAGCCCCCATGTACATCTTTTTTTTTTTAATGTTTGTTTATTTTTTAGTTGTAGTTGCACACAATACCTTTATTTATATGTGATGCTGAGGATCAAACCCAGGGCTTTGCAGATGCTAGGCGAGCACTCTACCACTTAGCCACAACTCCAGCCCCCATGCACATCTTTAATGCCAGCATCTAGGGACACTCGAAAGAAGGGTCCAAGTTCAAGGCAGCCTGGAAAATTTAGCGAGATCTTAAAAACGTAATGAGATCCTGTGTCAAAATAAAAAGAACTGGGAATGTAGTTCATTGGTTGAACCCCTGGGTTCAATCCCTAGTACTAAAGGAAAAAAAAAAAGATTGAAGACACCTTGGTGGTGCCTAGTTTCTATACTTTACTAGTGGGGAAACTGAGGCCTAGAAAACTTGGTCAAATCATGTCCAAGTCACTGATAAATGGGATCAGCTCTCCAACCCAGCTCTCCGAACATAAGTCAAGAGTGTCAAGAAGGTCAATTTGACTGGGCACAGTGGTGCACTCTTATAATCCAGTGACTTGGGAGAGGCTGAGGCAGGAGGATTATGAGTTCAAAGCCAGCCTCAGCAACTTAGTGAGGCCCTAAGTAACTTAGTGAGACCCTGTCTCAAAACAAAATATAAAAAGGTCTGGGGATGTGCCTCAGTGGTTAAACCCTGTTACAAAAAAAAGGGGGTGGGGAAACGTGGTGTCCTACTAAGATTGACATATAGGCAAGTACAACACACCACTGTTGAACCTAAGAGTTCTAGTTTTTTAAAAAATATATTTATTCTTAAGTTGTTTTTTTTTAGGTGGACCCAATAGCTTTATTTTACATTTATGTGGTACTGAGGATCGAACTCAGTGCCTCGCGCATGCTAGGTGAGCACTCTACCACTGAGCCACACCCCAGCCCCAAGAGTTCTAGGTTTTTTAGCTAACAGCATGTTAAGGCATATCAGAAGACCTTGCTCAGCCTCATCTTTGAAAATGATGGAAATAACAAAATGCAAATAACAGGAGTGTAAATGACGCATGGAATGCCCTTAGATCAGCACCCAGCAGTTAGTGGGTGTTCAGTTTGCAGTATCTAATATTCATTTATTTCTCCTTGCCATTTCTCCTCTCTAACATTCTGCCTTCCAGGTCAAGCACTTCTCAGTACAGTGCATTAGGTAATACTGGGGACTACTGCTTCAGCCTCAGCCACTTGTTAGCAGGGTGATCTTTTTTTTTTTTTCCTTTCGCTCCTTTATTTATTTGTCATTGGTACTTTTTGTATATACATAAAGGTGAGGTTCCCTTTCATACATTTACATATGGCAGGATTTTGTTAAACTCATTCCATGTTTCCTCCCCTTTCCATCCTTCCTCCCTCTTGTCTCCTACTCCACTGATCTTCCTGCATCTTCACGATATCCAATCCCCTCCCCAACCACCCTTCCTTTATTTTGCTCCAGTTGTCACACTTGAAAGAAAAGAGTTGACCCTTGATTTTTCTGATTCTGGCTTATTTCACTTGGCATGATTTTCTCCATTTCCCCATTTACAGGTAAATGCCATTATTTCATTCTTCTTTATGGCTGAGTTCAACTCTGTTGTCTATATATAACACCTTTTCTTGATCATCTTCACCTATTGACAGATATCTGGGTTGCTTCCATAACTTGGATATTGTGAATTGTTCTGCTGTAAACATTAAAGTGCCTATGTCACTATAGTAAGCTGATTTTGGTTCTTTGGGAAAAATACCAAGGAGTGGTTAGCTGGGTCATATGGTGGTTCTATTCCTAGCTTTTTGAGCAATCTCCATACTGCTTTCCAGAGTGGTTGCACTAATTTGCAGTTCCACCAACAATGTATGAGTGCACCCTTTCCCCAATATCCTCAACAGCATTTATTAAGCAGGGTTATCTTGCACCGGTTACTATTGAAAAATTCTGGGCTTCATCAGTAAATTGGGAATGTATTACCAGTATCTACCAAACAGTAGTGAGGTGGAAATAATGCACATGATGGATTTCATGTCCCTGTACTACAGTTGAGAACCCTATTCATGAGACACACCCTGTCCTGGGGACACAACTAACATGAATGTACTTCATAAAATTCACCAGTTAAGTGCTCAGTAAATGTGAGCTACTTCTGTTACCTGTTACTTCCACAGCTATGCCTCATCTATCACCAACACAGGCTGCAGAGCTCCTGACCCATCAGGAAGAGGCTGGTCCCCAACCAGCAGCCAAGCAGCAAGGAAAGACATCAGCTCACCTGATCTAGCTCTGATTTTCAGGTGCCTGCTTGAAGTCAAGAATTCTGAAAATGATTTTTTTTTTTTTTTTTGTACTGTGGATTGAATCCAGGGGCACCTGACAACTGAGCCACATCCCCAGGCCTATTTTGTATTTTATTTAGAGACAGGGTCTCACTGATTTGCTTAGCGCCTCACTTTTGCTGAGGCTGGCCTTGAACTTGCAATCCTGCTGCCTCAGCCTCCTAAACCACAGGGATTATAGGCATGTGTCATCACGCCCAGCTCTCAGCCCTTTTTTATATTTTATCGAGAGGCAGCATCTCACTGAGTTTCTTAAGGCCTTGTTAAGTTGCCGAGGCTGGCTTTGAACTCATGATCTTCCAGCCTCAGCCTCCTAAACTGCTGGGATTACAGGCTTGTGCCACCGTGCCCATCCTGAAAATGATTTTTGTAAGCATGGCAATGACCTGGAAGAGCCCCTGCTGCCCACAGACACAGAAATGTCAAGACACAAGCCCAGGATTGATTCACCCATGTCCATGCTTAAGGTACAGTTCTGCAGGAAGATCCCCTTCTTCAGCAACCTGTGCCTAAGGAAGCAGGCTGGCCAGTGCGCCCTGGTTCAGGTGGGAGGTAGGTCCTTTTAGGCATGAGGAGCTTCCCCGCCATTGCCCGCAGGGGGCGCTGTTGACATGGCAATTCTGTCAAGTGGAAAGCCAAGCCAGTTTCAGAGCCAGAGAAACAGGTTCTGTAGTTCCAGAACCTCGTTTTTGTCCTTTAGAAAGTGGTTTTGACAATAAATCTGTGAGGCTTCAATGGGACCCAGAGAAGTTTGTGAAAGAAAGCAAAACACACATTCACAAATTAACCTCCCTACATCTCAGTTTATTCATCTATGAAGGGAGATAACCATAGGTTCCTCCCTGTGGATATCCAAACATGTGGAAAAAAATAAAGTGTCTGGTACCTTGGAAGCACCAGCAGGTGGTGATAGGAGACAAAGTGCCCTGCCGATTCAGAACATCATATCCAGGTCTTGTCTCCTGCCTCTTGGAGCTCCAGCTGCAGAATCAGAAACAAGGCAACTGTTAGCTACACTGAAAGTCCAGGCTGCTTCAGACCTGCCACTGACCTCTCCAGCCTCAGTTTCTTTGTCTACACCACTGATGGGATCTCAGGTCCTCTAAGCCCAGAGAATGACTTACATCTAATCTATGACACGGAGTGCCGTCTATGGGAGGAAGTCACTGCTGACTGATATTTACTCATTCAACACACTGTGCTAACACTCTGGATCTAAGCCCTAGGGATGCAACGTTGACTAACAGGACTCTTGACCTTGTGGAGCTCACAGTCCAGTTAGGAGATGAATACAGCATCATGCTATAATGAAGGAAAAGCTGGGAGCTGGAAGAGCCCAAAGGAAGCAGCTGTCAGATCCCTGGGAGTCAGTGAAAACACCCTGGAGGAGGAGGAAATGTGGAACATCTAAGGAATGAAAAGGGGTTCTGTGAATATTGAGATGAAGAAAAGGATTTCAGACAGGAAGCCTAGGGTGCAAGTGGATGTGGCACAATCAAGACTTTCATAGCGGCAGGACTGGAGATTTGGACGGGGGGGCCCACCAGTCCTCTCCATCCACCCCTGCCTCCTCCAAAGCTACCAAAAGGGAACATTCTTTTTTTTATTTTTAAAGATTTATTTTTTATTTTTTTAGTTGTAGTTACACACAATACCTTTATTCCATTCATTTATTTTTATGTGGTGCTGAAGATCGAACCCAGGGCCCTGCGTATGCTAGCGAGTGCTCTACCGCTGAACCACAATCCATCCCAGCCCCCAACAGGGAACATTCTTGTGTCCTATCTATGTCCTCAAGTCCTTCCATTTGATCACCCACTGCCCAGGTAAAAGAACTACTTCTTGCTCTCATGGAGGGCTCTTTGTCTAGCAGGGGTCAGAAAGCACAGGCACCAGGAACTCCATTAGCTCAAGTCATGAGCTAGGTACTAGATGTGCACCTAGGTAATGAGCAGGGCACCCAGCACCAAATAGGAGTGATGGAGGATGAGGAAGGCATTCTAGGAGACAGCCAGTCCTCCAGTGGGACACAGTGGCATTTCAGAGCAAGTCTGTGATTTTCTTTTTTTTTTTTTTTTTTGGTACCGGATATTGAATGCAGGGGCACTTAACCACAGAGCCACATCCCCAGACTTATTTTGTATTTTATTTAAAGACAGGGTCTGTCCACTAAGTCCCCCTCACAGACAGTAAGGCCTTAAGATCAGCTTCTTCCTCCACCACTAACCTCTCCAGAAGCTAGAAGGCAGGAGCAGAGTGCCTGCTCTGGTGTGTGTGACTGGTCCCTGGTCCAGGCCCACTCTGAGTTCCTGCAATCTTCTGACCATAGCAAGTGACTGCCTTAGGGTTGAGAGAGGTTTCAGAAATTTTCTTGGTACATCTCTCCCATGATGGCATCTGCCACCTTTGGGTGATGGCAGGCCGCTGCCAGGCCCTATATGTCCTCACACAGCCTAACTACAGAGGGATGCGCCACAGTGTAGCTTGCCCTTCTCATGTCCATTGAGCCTGGAAATGGGCCCACTTTTTTTGTTGTTGTTCTGGGGATTGAACCAGGGGTGCTTTATCACTGAGCTGTACCCCCAGTCCTTTTTATTTTTTTGTTTTCAGACAGGGTCTTGCTAAATTGCTGAGGGCCTTGTTAAATAGCTGAGACTGGCCTTTAATTTGTGATCCTCCTGCCTCAACCTCCTGAGTCGCTGGGATGATAGTTGTATGCCACTATGCCTGGCTGGGTCCACTTACTTGTAAGAGCCTCTTTTAAAGCCCAGTCATGCCTTGTTGACCTGCCAACAATGACCATGAGGAATGAACTTTTATCCATTTGCTATTCATCTCAAGACCCAACATTTCAATCTAAATTCTTTGGCATAGAATCTTTCTAAAATGGACTATGATTTTCTTCTCTTCTAGCATAGAGATGAAACATCACTAGAACCTGGCCACAGAACCCTACCCTGTGACCTTGGAAGGTCACTTTCTCTGATCTCAAATGTCTTACTCCATAGAAAAGGGTGATCCTGCACACCTGGCAGAGCCACTAAGAAACCACATATGTAAGCAGAGAATGCAGTGGGCAGGTGCTCACCACATGGAGGCTGCCAAAACTGTTTTCTTGATGACTCAGGTTTACATTGTGACCATCAATCATCATTCCGTGACTACTTTCTATTTATCTGACTCCTCAGCCATGGATGTCCAGAAAGCTGAGTTGACCATCACTTCAATTTCCTGACTGTATTGCCTGGAAAGTCTCCTGCCTTTCTGCCCCAGCAGAACCACCCAGAGAAAAGATAAAAACCCAGAGCTAGTTCTCAAGTCCGCATGCTTTCACCAATGTGTGAGAAGTAACCCTTAGAGCAAGGTTTCCAGTCAATTGTAATGGAATTGGGAAAGTGTTGGACCCCAGTGAATGTGACACATGACTGCAAAATCTTATACTTGAGCTTACCTGCTGTGGAGCCCATCAGAACTAGGTTCAAATCCCAGCTGCTTTGTTTGCTAGCTGTGTGACCTGGGACAAATTACTCAGTCTCTCAGTCTTCATTTCCCAATCCAGGAAGCGGGACTAGTAGTCATATCTATTAAATAGAGTTGCAATGGAAGAGAGACCAGGCATAAAAGCAGAGGCACTTTGTCTTTTTCTTAGATGACCGCCTTCATTCCTATTGCTACTTAGCCTCTTGGTCTGGATAACAAAAAAGTATTGACAGCCATAGAGCATGTGTGATCAGCAAGTCCCATGTGGTTACAAGACAAGGGTCCCCTAGGAAAGACCAATGAACTGTCTCATTCCCCTTCTTGGGAACCACAGGCCAAAAGTCATTCAACCATAGTTGCCCACAACAAATCCTGGAGCAGAGCTGTGAATCCGCCCACCAGTTCCTGGCCTTTGGGGCAGGATTCAGCTTCCCACACTGTATAGTCCAAGAGCAGCAGATGGGGGGGGGTTGGGCAGGCCTCCTGCAGGCTTCATGAGCTGCAGGCAGTCCCCAGTGGTTAGGTACGTGGGTGGAACCCAGGAGGGGAAGGTTTATGAAAAACAGCTCTTAGTTCAATCTTTGATGTTTGCTTCCTAAAGGGAGGAGGGGTAGGGAGGCTGTCTCTCCTTTACCACACATCGGACTCAAACCAAGCAAAAAGAGGGCAAGTCTAGTGGGGTGGGGCAGAGAGGAGGGTGGGGGGGAAGGGATAAGGAAGACAGACAAACCGGGGAGAAAGGCACATGACGCAGCGGGAAAGGAGAGGAGAAAGGGAAAGAAGTGGAGAAAGGCAGAGGAAGGACTGGTAGAGAATATGAGGCACCATGACCACTAGAGGGAGAGATGTGAAACCCCGCTCAGCACTTCATGGAGAAGTAGAAAGAATCGCTAAACCCGAACAGGCAATTCTAGGAGTGGAGCGAGTTGCAATGCAGTGGCAGGGCTTGAGCCTCAGCAAAGGTGACTGCATAGCTGGGGCTAGGAGGCTTCAGTCTGGGGACTTTCAGGGCCCCCTTCCCCAATCACTCCTCTGGGAGCCTCCCTCCCAGGGCCAAGCAGGCTGGGAACTGTCCATGGCCCGGTGCTGAAATATCCAGGTGATCACCAGCCTCTCAGGCAGAACCTTGCAGTCATCCTACAAGTACTTGTTAAGCACCTGCTGTATGCCAGCCACTATTCCAAGCACTGAGGAAAGCAGCAGTGGATAAAACATACAAAAATCCCTGTCCTTGTGAAACTTACCTTGTAATGGGAGGAGTCAAAGAGGGAAAATAAAGTCAAGTCCTATGGAGAAAAAGCAGGAAAAGAAAATGAGGTTTAGCAAATGCACCCCAAGCAATGGTCAATGCTGTTCCTTATAAAGGATATAGTGGTGCAGGGAGTGGGCCCTCATATAGGATGTGTTGAGGAGCTGGGGTGCAGCTCAGTGGTAGAATGTATGCCTGGTATGCACAAGGTACTGGGTTCAATCCTCTAGCACCAAAACAAAAGAAAATACAGGATGTGCTGACACTGGATCATGGGTCAGAGAGAATCTCAGCTGAGCAATCTGTCAGAGGTCAGACTCCTTCCCCAATCTCACCCCCAGAAAGTTGCTCATTCTCTTTCTGGGGACTTCTCATTCCTCTACCCTCAGACTACCAAGGCCTCTACTGTACAAGAGAAATTGGTTTCCACACTGTGTGTCCAGCATTAGCTTAGACCTGGATGACCTGAGACACTGGGCTATCGCTAACCCAGATAACCCACTTCCTTACTCTGGCTTCAATTTACTTAAGTAGTACATAAAACAGGAACAGTGATCCCTGACAAGTGAGGAGGTTTGAAGAGGCACCAAAGAAAACACGGTGAGTCTTCTCTGTTGTATACAAGGGAGGTAAAGGATTCCATCTCACTGAAGTCTCAGTTTTCTAAGTTCACTGTGGGGTTTAATCCCATCTAGTGGAATGAATGAAGTGAGTGGCAGCAATGCCTCGCAGATGTTCACAGAGAGCTTTATGGCTTTTTTGTTCTTTTTGGAGGTATACCTATTGCATTAGTCTCATTTCTGTTACTCTAATAAATATCTGAGACAATCAATTGATAAAGAGAAAAGGTTTATTTTGGCTCACAGTTCTGGAAGTTCCAGTTCACATCAGTTGGCTGCTTTGGGCCTGTGGTGAGGTAGCACATCATGGTGGGAGTACATGATGGAGCAAAACCATTCACCTCATGGCTAGGAGGCAAAGGAAAGAAAGAGGAAGGGACTGAGTCCCACAGTTCCCTTAGGAAACATTCCTAAAGGCCTTCCATTACCCCCTCCACCTCCCCTCCCCCAGATTGGGGATTGAACCCAAGGGCACTTGACCCCTGAGCTGGTCCCGACTTCTTAAAATTTTTTTGAGGCAGGGTCTCACTAAGTTGCTGAGGCTGGTCTTGAACTTGTAGCCCAGAGTAGCAGGACTATCTGGCATTGCAATTAGGCCACACCTCCCAACAGCACCACCCTGAAAACCAAGTCTTTAACACATGGGCCTTTCAGGGGTATTCAAGATCCAGACTATAGCACTTATCTTGAAAGTGCCTTAGGAAATGATGAGTTGGGATTTGGGAAGAACTTGAGAATCCAGAGACAATTTTAGAAGCTTGTGGGATATTATAATTTCAACATTTAGTGTGTACCTATAGCATAACAGGTGCTCAATAAGCAATGGAGGGAGGGAGGGAGGGAGAGATGGATGGATGGAGGCATGGAAGGATGAAGGATGGATGAAATAATAAGTTGTTCCATTCAATTCCAAGTGGTAAGAACCATAGGAAAGAAGGTGAAAGTGATCTGAGGCACAGATTCAGGGCAGAATCATTCTTAGTTCCTTCTAGACCGAAAGTTTGTCTGGAGGACTAATGGAATTCATTCTTTCATTCACTCATCATTCATTCACACAATGACACAGAGTGAATGTACTGCTAAGACTTAACACTGGGGACCATGGAACATTCAGGAGGGGACAATTACCTAAATGTGGGGAGGGGCAGGAGGCCAAGGTTGGCTTTCTAGTAAGCCTGAAGGGTCTTTTGGGGGAATGACCTCAGGGTTCCAGATCTTGTGCCAATTTTCCAGCTATAAAAAAATCATACTTTGGATTTCTGGAATCTGTAGCAAGCTGTAATCTGATGGGTGAGGTCTCTGGCCCTAACAAATCTATCTTGCCCCCTCCTATTTTACTCCCATCCCTCCTATCAGCCTTCCCACACCCAGAGCAAGTATCTGCATTGTGCAGAGGACTGATGAGACTCAAAGTAAGAAGGATCAAATGGCAAAATTCCAAGCAGAATGAAAAATAATTGGGGAGCCATGTGACAGCAAGAGGGTCCTGCCCAAGCACCCCTCTACCCCATGCCTTTCTCCAGTACCTCAGACCAGCCACTCACCTCATTCTCCCAGCATCACCTGCAAACCAGCCCCTCTGCCCCCTGCAAACCAAAGCATGACTGGACCTTTAAGTGGGGGAAAAATGCTTCATCATGTTCTGCTTCTCCATGCAAAGCCAGAAACTCCCTTCCCCCTCTTCCCTGCTCCCCAGCGCACTCTCCTTCCAGTAAAACATGGTTAAAGGAACAGCACCATCACTTCCCCAGCTCTCAGGGTCTGCCTAACACCAGTTGTCTGGGCATGAGAGAGGGCAAAGAGAAAGGGATTGGCAGGGATCTTTTTCTGGAGGGTCTGTCAGTCTCTGTCCTGGGGATCCTAAAAGAAGGAAAAAGAGGATAAGCTGGGGGTGCGGTGGGGGTTGAAATAACTGCCTTGGGGAGATTCAGATCTGGGAGGGGAGTCTATTCTGATTTCCAGAGGATGTCAGGGTATCCCTGGGGGTCCTTTCAGCTCCCAATGGAAAAGGAGTACAGGCCAGGTTTGCATGGAGAACTTCCCAGAAAATAGATCCCTAGTGAAACATCCAGGAGTGGGTCCCTGGCCCCCTGTGACTTTCTGGACCACTCACCTACCCTGTCATCAGTTCTTATCCGCATAGCACAGGGCCCTGGCAAGAGACAGCTTGCACCCCTCCCCTCTCCAAGGTAAAGGCAAAGGCAGAGATTAACCCCTATGTCCCCAACAAGAAGCAGGCTCTGTCACTGATGAAATGCCAGCCGCAGTGCCACCCCCACTCCCAATGCATCTGACATGAAGCAAAGCCAAGAAAGAGCCCCATAACAAAGCAGTTGCAGAGTCCCCAAACCCAAGGAACCCCTTTTTCTGCCTGACTCCCCACTAGGGCTCATGGGGATGAGGGACTTGAGTAGTAAGAAAGCATCCCACCACTTCCTTGGGAGTGAGAAGGGATGCCTGTGGAGGTGTCAGTTTGTCTGTTGTGGGGGTTGGGCTGTGAAAAGTTGAGACTGAGGAGATGAAAAAGAGAAGGAGAAAGATAGATATTCTAGTTGTGGGAAAACGGTTGTCATACCTATAGGCAATATGTGGGCTCCCCTCTAATTCAGCTGGAGACCTTCCTCCACAATGGTCCTGGGTTCTGGAGTTGCAGCTGGTCCCTAGGGCAAGACCCCCTCACTGTACAAAAGGAAAAGCTAGAACTGGACGACAGAACTTGTCCAAGGTCATTCTGCAAGCAAACTACAGAGCTGACCCCAGCATACAGAACTCTGCCCCTCAAACACAGCCCACCTCCCCGCGGTTCAGGAGACCCCTCTGTCCCTTCATTTAGAGGCCCTATTGCTGAGGTCAGCTGCTACCTCCCACTTCCAATCTTGGGCACCACTGCAGACTTTTTAAAGAATACTCTTTCCTCACCACCACCCAGGGGTCCCTCTCTCCATTTTCTGCAGTGTCTCCCATACCCCAATTCAGGGTAGCCTTACTGTCCTTTTCAACTCCAGGTCCTCCTTCCCTATTCCAGAGCCAGCTGCAGAGTTTCTTAAGTCCTCTCCCAGTGGCTGCTCTAGCAATTAGGGGAACACGGTAGGAGTCCCCTATCTATTCTCTACAGCGTACACCGTGCCCCCATTCAACTGCCTGGCTCCCTCATTATTTCGGACCCGCTACAGATTCTCTGCATCTCCTATCCCCAAGGCCTAACTATTAGGAAAACCTTGTGCTCCATCCCATGCAAGGGTCCCCTCATCCTAATGATCACAGCATATCTCAACGCTCCACCCCGAAGGCACCCACCCCCGATTCCTACCAAGTCTAATTGTTCTCCCCTATATCAGGTCCCCTCTTTTATTCTAAACACACTAGCAGGGTCTTCCCGCCCGCATTGAGGGTCCCCATTAGTACTCTCCGGAAGTCCTCCACCTCTTGCCCTGACCTCGGGAGACTCCTCAGTCGCTGCGACGATTCCCCTTCACTCCTTGCTCCCCCTGCCCCGCCCCTCTCACTGCGGCTAAGCCGGTCGGCCCCGGGCCGCGGGGGAGGAGGTGGAGAGGGCGGGGCCCGACTCCCCAGCCCCCCACTGCCAAGGGGCTGGACCCGGCCAAGGCGGCTATAAAAGAGCTGGCGTCCCGGAGCTGTCGCAGTGCCGCCCACCCCGTCCCGGCCCCGCGTTCCGGCTCTGCCGGCGGCCCGCACCTGCCTGGCCATGATGAGCTTCGGCGGCGCGGACGCGCTGCTGGGCGCCCCGTTAGCGCCGCTGCACGGAGGCGGCAGCCTGCATTATGCGCTGGCCCGGAAGGGCGGCTCGCGTTCGGCGGCCGGCTCCTCCAGCGGATTTCACTCGTGGGCTCGGACGTCCGTGAGCTCCGTGTCAGCCTCGCCCAGCCGCTTCCGTGGCGCAGGCGCCGCCTCAAGCACCGACTCGCTAGATACGCTGAGCAACGGGCCAGAGGGCTGCATGGTGGCGGCGGCTGCGGCGCGTAGCGAAAAGGAGCAGCTGCAAGCCCTCAATGACCGCTTCGCGGGCTACATCGACAAGGTGCGGCAGCTTGAGGCGCACAACCGCAGCCTGGAGGGAGAGGCTGCCGCGCTGCGACAGCAGCAGGCAGGCCGCGCAGCCATGGGTGAGCTGTACGAGCGCGAGGTGCGCGAGATGCGCGGCGCAGTGCTGCGCCTGGGCGCGGCGCGGGGCCAGCTGCGCCTTGAGCAGGAGCACCTACTCGAGGACATCGCACACGTGCGCCAGCGCCTCGACGACGAGGCCCGGCAGCGCGAAGAGGCTGAGGCTGCGGCGCGCGCACTAGCGCGCTTCGCCCAGGAGGCCGAAGCTGCGAGAGTCGAGCTGCAGAAAAAGGCGCAGGCACTGCAGGAGGAGTGCGGCTACCTGCGACGCCACCACCAGGAGGAGGTGGGCGAGCTGCTCGGTCAGATCCAGGGTTGCGGCGCTGCGCAGGCGCAGGCGCAGGCCGAGGCGCGCGACGCCCTGAAGTGCGACGTGACGTCGGCGCTGCGTGAGATCCGCGCGCAACTCGAAGGCCATGCTGTGCAGAGCACGCTGCAGTCAGAGGAGTGGTTTCGAGGTGCGCAGGCGCGTGGGGGTTGGGGAGGGGTGCCCCTGCAGCTAGCTGCCCCCTGGCTTGACCCTAGGCGTGCTGTTGGATTCCGTGTAGCAGAATCAGAGGGCTCACAACTCAGCTTCCCTCGCAAAGTGCATGCCCCCTACTTAAGTAACTTTCACAGGTTTCTTGTAGGACGCCACCAACTCTGGGTTCTCTTTTGGTTGCTCTCCTCCAGATTCTTTGTGCGTCCACTCTGGGGCCCCCTGGTCTGAGATTTTTGCCCATTAGGAACAAAACAAATTGTCTCTAGTTCCAAAGTAGCGCTGGCTTCTGGTCATTAGTGCATACCCTGTAAGTGCCGCCCATCTCCCTTTCCTGCACTCTGCTGGGTCTCCATTCTTCTGCCCCTACCCTAGTAGGCTCCGCCCCACTACCTGCTCCGTGCCTAATGCCCCCACCTTAATCTGCAGTGCGGGTTGAAATGGGTGGGGCATTTTCACATCCTCTCTCCCCAGGTGGGTCACCACAACCAATGACCAAGAATGGCTGAGGCTGGCCTCTTCACTATTTTAAATCCCCTCTCTTAAGCAACATGGAACCTTCCCAAATCCCCACCACCACCCAACTCCACGTAGTCCTGAGTCAGCTGGACTGCAGCTATCCTAAAGCTGTGCCCAGCAGCTGCAGGGTGACCTTGACCAACATTAGCCCTCTCTGGTTTTCATTTCTTTTTGATTGAAAGAGCTGGGTGGACCAAATGACCTTCTCAGTCTGGAGACTTATATGATCCCAGCTGAAACTGTTTGTAAAACTGCTTTGTTCTGGGGAGAGTGCAGAGGCTTCAATGATTTTCAAATGAGTTTGCAATCCACAATAGGTTAGAATTCTCACCCACCTGGACAGATTTCTAAGTCTTTGCCAGTACTGGCAGGGAAAGCCAGGAATGCTCATTTGGATGCTTGGAATATCCCATTCCTTTCTACCCATCTGCAGTGGCAGAACCCCTCCCCCATCTCTGCAGCAAGGCCACTCCCAGAGGGGAATTCTGTTCTCTTGAATTTGCCCTTCACTCAGGCAAACCATCCCAGGGCTTGTGGTCCAGACAGCTGGCTTCTCTCCACCAAGACTCAGGCTCTCAGTGCTATTATGTGGGGATTCAGGATGTTCATTCTCAGGGGATGTAAACCAATCTAAAGGCCTCCACTGGCCCCCTCAAGGTCTTCTGAGAACTAGGAGCCTGTGGGTGGCAGGGGCCAGGGTGTGGCTGCCATCAACTGGGAGGTTCCTGTGCTATGCAATGCGCAGCCAAGTTGAGGACGGAACAGAAGGGCTGACACCCAGGACCTTGGACTTGCAGTGATCTTGGACTCTGCGCAGAAGTCTGTAAGGAAGGTACCATGACTGCATGATGACTTGATTGCTCAGAACTCTCATGCCTTCAAAGGTCACAGGCTCATTAACAAGTTCAGCCACAAGCCTCCAGCATTCAGCTCAGTTAAACCTCATGGGCAAAATTTCACATCTGAGTCTCCAGCAGTGCCAGCCCCTTGCTGGGGAGCTGGACCTGGTACTGGGACCAGAAATGAGAGCTTCCTGTCCCCTGAAGGTTGATATAAATTTCTAGGTTGAGGGAGACTGAGTCTAGTCTTTGGAACCAGATATAATCACTAGATTTGAATCCTACTCTGCCACTTACTAGCTAGGTGGCTTTAGGCTGGATCACTTGCCTTTCTCATAGCATAGAGTGAGGTAAGCATCCACCATGGTGCCTGGCACCCACTGACTCCCCAACCCATGTGTGTCACCTTCCAGATCTAGGCATTGGAACCCAAATCTAGGTGTGTCTAACCCTGTGCCCTGCTTCCTTCTCTACCTAGTGAGGCTGGACCGACTGTCAGAGGCAGCTAAAGTGAATACAGATGCCATGCGCTCAGCCCAGGAGGAGATAACTGAGTACCGGCGTCAGCTGCAGGCCAGGACCACAGAGTTGGAGGCTCTGAAAAGCACCAAGGATTCCCTGGAGAGGCAGCGCTCTGAGCTAGAGGACCGTCATCAGGCTGACATTGCATCCTACCAGGTAGACATAGGGACAAACTGCCTCTCCTGGTTGAGTGACCTGTACAAGTCACTCCCCTTCCCTGAGCAGGATGCAGTGGTTAAGACCATGGTTCTTGGAGTTAGACATACCAGGACTTTGTAGCTGTGTGACCCAGGAGAGTTTTCGGCCTGTCTGAACTTAAATTTCTTCTCCGCAGTGACAAGGTAAAGAAAGAAAAACAAAAACTAACACTTGCTTTACAGAACTTTGAAGGTTAAAAAGAGAGACAGACTTTGAAGTGCTCAGTAGGACATCCATTTAATAGTAACCTGTGTGTAGCCTGGGGAGGGCCTTGGCAGATTCCTCCAATTAAAGATAACTTTCAAAAAACAGCATATAAGTAATATATAGTGATCATAGAGTTTTAGGAAGCAGAGAAACAAATAAGAGAAAATAAAAAGTGATAATAGTTCTCTTTAAGCTGTGGCTGCAGTGGGCCTAGGGTGAGATGACAAGTTTTATCTTGTATTTAATATGCTTTTGTGTATTGTCCCTGTCATTAGATCATCAAGAACAGATGTTTTCAAGCCTTGATGATGTGGCAGGCAGGCTCTTTGGGGCACTGGGGAAGCAGTAAGGAGAAAATGCAGATAAGGCTCTGGTTCCACTGAGCATTTGCTTTTTTTTTTTTAAATATATATATTTTTAGTTGTAGATGGACACAATATTTTTATTTTATTTATCTTTTTGTGGTACTGAGGATCGAACCCAGGGCCTCACACATGAGAGACGAGCACTCTACTGCTGAGCCATGACCCCAGCCCCCCCACTGAGCATTTTCTAATTTTAAGAGATCTGTGAAAATTCACACATCATCTCATGACCAGGCTAGCATCTGAGACATTTCATTCTAGACCTTTCCTCAAGCTGAGATTTTTGCTTCAGATTTTTCCATGTCCACAAATGAGGACCCTGAAGCTTTGATAGGATGGGGTTTGGTCCCACTTGAGCCTTACTGGGAAGGGCAGCTTGGGCTTACACAGCCAGCCCCAGATATCCTGGTGATAAGGGATAGGCATTAACTAGAGAGTGACACATATGATCTGTCATCCTCAGGAAGCCATTCAGCAGCTGGACACTGAGCTGAGGAACACCAAGTGGGAGATGGCAGCCCAGCTCCGAGAATACCAGGACCTGCTGAATGTCAAGATGGCTCTGGATATTGAGATTGCTGCTTATAGGTGAGTTGGGCCAGGAGCTGCTGAATGGCAGAGAGCCCTTGTGTTTTAGGTGAAACCTTGGGTTTCAAGTTCTATTTAGGCAACATGGCTGTTTAAAGACAGAAGCCATTTTTTAAAAATTTTGATAATATGAATGACATAATATTTGCCAATTAACCATCTTAAATATCAGTTGTATTAAGTACATTTGCACTGTTGTATAACCCTATCACTATCCATCTCCAAAACTGTTTTTTATCATCTTGAACTCAAACTTCATCCCCTGTTCTCTCCTTTCCTTAGCCCCTAGTAACCCTAGTAACCCCTAGTACCACCAGTCTACCCCTCTGAGAGGCAGAAATCTTTTTTTTTTTTTTGTGGTACTGGGGATTGAGTCCAGGGGCGCTTAACTACTGAGCCACATCTCCAGTCCTTTTTTATATATTTTATCTAAAGGTCTCTCTGAGTTGCTTAAGGCCTCTTTAAGTTGCTGTGGTTGGCTATGAATTTGAGATTTTCCTGCCTCAGCCTCCCGCCGCTGTGATTACAGGTGTGTGCCACCATGTCTGGCAAAGGCAGAAATCCCGACAGTGACTTAAGGAGTTAAAACTCTTCTTTTCTTCAAATCCTGTCAGCCAGAGGCCTGCTCTGGAGAGAAATAGATACTTAAATTGTCAGAGGCTTTTACAACTCTATCCTTTAGAATTTCTTTCTTTCTTTTTCTCTTTTTGGTACTACAAATTGAATCCAGGGTACTTTACCACTGAACCACACCCCCAGCCTTTTAAAATTTTTTATTTTGAGACAGGGTCTCACTAAGTTACTTAGAGCCTCATTAATACTAAGTCTGGCTTTGAATTTACAACCCTCCTGTCTCAGCCTCCTGAGTCTCTGGGATTGTAGGCACATGCAACTACACCTAGTTCCTTTAGAGTTCCTTTGGTTTCTAAGCGTTCATTTCTTGGGGAAGTAAAATGGAGATGATAATAACAGGATCCATATCACGGGTTGTTGGGTGAGCTAATCCTATTAAACTAATCGAAGTAATACATGTACGTGGTAATCACCCTTACTTAGTAAGGGTGGCTCTGAGAAAGCCAATCCCCCTGGATGAGCCCTTCTGGTTTAGCAGGTCTGAGGAACAGGGCTGACCCCCATGAGGACCTTTCCTAGTTGCAGACTGATGACTTTTGATTTTCCATCTGTTGACTTTACTTTTTTTTCCCCTGAGGTGCTGGGGATTGACCTAGGGCCTTGTGCATGTGAGGCAAGCACTCTTCGGACTGAGCTATATCCCCTCAACCCCCACCTGTTGACCTTATTTAGTCTATAATTCGCCCTCCATGCTAGGGATTGAATCTAAAGTTACATTACCACTAAGCTACACCCCCAACCCTTTTTTATTTTGAAACAGGGTCTTGCTAAGTTGCCCAGGTTTGGCCTCAAACTTGTGATCCTCCTGCTTCAGCCTCTCCAGTAGCTGGGATTACAGACATGTGCCACAACCCCTGGCTCTAATCTCTAATCTTGCTATTCAAAGTGTGGTTCATGAATTAGCAGAATCAATGTTGTCTAGTACCTAGTTAGACTTAGGCCTTGTCCTTGGCTACTGGATCAGGATTTGCATTTGGCTCCTAGGTGATTTGTGTGCTGTTAACTTTGGGAAGTACCAGGGGCTAGGGTTGTGACTCAGTGGTAGAGCGCTTGCCTAGCATGTGCAAGGCCCTGGGTTCAAGTCTCAGCACCATATAAATAAATAAAATAAAGGTCCATTTACAACTAAAATAAATACATGTTTTTTAAAAATTGGGAAGCACCAGTCTGTAGGGGTTACCCCTACATTCACTGTAAGGCAAGCACTCTGCTAAATCCTTTTTATTCACTGTTTGACTGAAACAACCCTCTGAAGTAGGAACTCTTATGATCCTTTTTTTTTTTTTTTGGTTAATTATATATTTTTTAGTTGTTGATAGACCTTTATTTTATTTATTTATACATGGTGCTGAGAATCGAACCCAGTGCCTCATTCATGCCAGGCAAGTGCGCTACTGCTGAGCCCCAGCCCCAGCCCCAGCCCAAATGATCTTCTTTTTATCAATAATGAAATTGAACCCTTAAGAGCTTGAATGACTTGGCCAACGTCACTATCTAGTTAGTAGCAAAGCCAACAGGAGGAACTGTTTCTAATACCCTCTTTCTAAAACCTAAAGGATAATGATAAAGAGTGACAGGAAAAATTCAAATGACAATATTGTAAGACCTCTTAAACTAAATTTATCAATGTGGAATTGCTTGCTTCCTGCTCTCTCTTTCTCTCTCTGTCCTTTATTTATTATTATTATTATCATCATTATTTTTGCAGTACTGGTGATCAAACCCAGGACTAGGCAAGTATTCTGTTGCTGAGATCCACCAGTTTTACCACTTTTGTTTATGTAGGAGCTCTCTATTATGGACCATTCTTCAGGTGTGGAAAGGGGAGTTGTTTAATTTCACAAATTGCAGTGTCCACTGCATTAAGTAAGAACAACCCCATAGGAGTATAGGTCTAGAGGTCACTTGGATGATGTGCTGAATGACTTTCTCCATTCTCCAAAGTGTTTATTTCTGGAGGTGTCACTCAGGGGTAGAGTGCATGCTAAGTATGTGCAAGGCTCTGGGTTTGATCCCTAGCACCTAAATAAATAAACTAACTACTAATAAAAAGGAATAAAAATGTCAAGCACAGTGGCACACACTGATAAGCCCAGCAACTTGGAAGGCTGAGGCAGGAGGATTTCAAATTCAAAGTCAGTGTGGATAACTTAGTGAGACCTTGTCTCAAAATAAAGCTGAAATGTAGATGTAGCTGAGTGGTAAAGCAGCCACAGACTCAATCCTTATTACCGTGCCCCCACCCCCCTCAAAAAAACTATCATTCATTCATGTTCCTTCCCTCACCAAAGTTCATGTCATTGGATGCCATGGAGCTTCAGGATACCCTAGGAAGACCCCAAACCAACAAATCTGCTCTGAGTTAATAGAGTAATATGTTCCACTATCCATTTTGCAGAAAACTTCTGGAAGGTGAAGAGTGTCGGATTGGCTTTGGCCCAAGTCCTTTCTCTCTTCCAGAGGCACTCCCGAAAATTCCCTCCATATCCACTCACATAAAAGTCAAAAGTGAAGAGAAGATCAAGGTGGTAGAAAAGTCAGAGAAGGAAACTGTGATTGTGGAGGAACAGACAGAAGAGATCCAAGTAACTGAAGAAGTGACGGAAGAAGAGGAGAAAGAGGCCAAAGAGGAGGAAGGCAAGGAAGAAAAAGAGGGAGAAGAGGAAGAAGCAGAAGAGGGAAAAGAAGAAGCAGAAGAGGGAAAAGAAGAAGCAGAGTCTCCCTCAGCAGAAGAGGCTGCATCCCCAGAAAAGGAAACCAAGTCCCCTGTGAAGGAAGAAGCCAAGTCACCAGCTGAGGAAAAGTCCCCAGTGAAAGACGAGGCCAAGTCACCAGCTGAGGCCAAGTCCCCAGCCAAGGAAGAGGCTAAGTCACCAATCGAGGCCAAGTCTCCAGAGAAGGCCAAGTCCCCCGTGAAAGGTGAAGCAAAATCACCAGCTGAGGTCAAGTCTCCTGAGAAGGCCAAGTCCCCGGTGAAGGAAGAAGCAAAGTCACCAGCTGAGGCCAAGTCCCCAGTAAAAGAAGAGGCAAAATCACCAGCTGAGGTCAAGTCTCCTGAGAAGGCCAAGTCCCCAGTGAAGGAAGAAGTGAAGTCCCCAGAGAAAGCCAAGTCCCCAGTGAAGGAAGAAACAAAGTCCCCTGAGAAGGCCAAGTCGCCAGTGAAGGAAGAGGCCAAGTCTCCAGTTGAGGTAAAATCCCCTGAAAAGGCCAAGTCCCCAGTGAAAGAAGAAGCAAAGTCCCCAGAGAAAGCCAAGTCACCAGTGAAGGAGGAGGTGAAGTCCCCAGAGAAAGCCAAGTCCCCAGCAAAGGAAGAAGCCAAGTCCCCAGTGAAGGAAGAAGCCAAGTCCCCAGTGAAGGAAGAAGCAAAGTCCCCAGAGAAAGCCAAGTCCCCAGTGAAGGAAGAAGCAAAGTCCCCAGAGAAAGCCAAGTCCCCAGTGAAGGAAGAAGCAAAGTCCCCAGAGAAGGCCAAGACTCTAGATGTAAAGTCTCCAGAAGCCAAGACTCCAGTGAAGGAGGAAGCACGGTCCCCTCCAGACACCAGATCCCCTGACAAGGCCAAAAGCCCTGTCAAGGAGGAGGCCAAATCCCCAGAGAAGGTCAAATCCCCTGAGAAGGAGGTCCCAAAGAAAGAAGAGGTGAAATCACCCGTGAAGGAGGAGGAGAAACCCAAAGAGTCCCCAAAGAAGGCAGAAGAGAAGGCTCCAGCCACACCCAAAACTGAGGAGAAGGACAGCAAGAAAGGCGAGGCTCTCAAGAAGGAGGCTCCAAAGCCCGAGGTGGAGGCCAAGAAGGAAGCTGCTGTCGAGAAGCCCAAAGAATCCAAAGTTGAGGCCAAGAAGGAAGAGACAGAGGATAAGAAGAAAGCAGCGACCCCGGAGAAGGAGGCTCCTGCCAAGGCGGAGGTGAAGGAAGAAGCTAAACCCAAAGACAAGACTGAGGTACCCAAGAAGGAAGCCGAACCCAGCAAACCAGCAGAGAAGGAACCAGAAAAGCCAAAGAAAGAAGAGGCAGCAGCAGTACCCGAAAAGAAAGACACCAAGGAGGAGAAGGCTGCAGAGGCCAAGAAGCCAGAGGAGAAACCCAAAACGGAGGCCAAGGCCAAGGAGGACGACAAGGGTGTCTCCAAGGAGCCCAGCAAGGAGGCCCCCACACCCAGCAAACCCAAGATGGAAAAGGCTGAAAAATCCTCTAGCACGGACCAAAAAGACAGCAAGCCTGCAGAGAAGGCCACAGAGGACAAGGCCACCAAGGGGGAAAAGTAAGGCAGTAAGAAAGGAACCCCAGAGCAGCCAAAGAAACTCAGGAGGGTCCCAGAACTCAAGGGTCAGTCTAATGAATTTTCATTTTTTTCCTCCCTTTTTGTTCTATAAGAAAAAAAACATGCTTTGATGTCGGGCCTTCCTTCACCAAACAGGATTTTCTGTTAACAATATGGTAGCAAGAGAGGGCACTCCCAGTTCCTGACCCCCTCCCTACCCCATGTCCCAAACCCTCTCCAGGCGATGGACAACTATGTTATGATAGCTTATGTAGCCGAATGTGATAATATGCCGAATGCTACACGTAAACACTTGACTACAAAAACTGCCCCCCTCCTCTCCAAATAAGTGCATTTACTTCCTGTATGTACTGACAGATGACCGCAATAATGAATGAGCAGTTAGAAACACATTATGCTTGAGATGTCTTAACCTATTCCCGAATGCCTTCTGTTTTCCAAAGGAGTGGTCAAGCCCTTGCCCAGCATTCTCTTATTCTGCAAGAGCGGGAGCCCATGAGGCTGGGCACTGGCCACTGAATCACAACAGGGCGCACTTTCCACTGGAGTCCACTTTCAATTGCTTCTGTGCAATAAAACCAAGTGCTTCTAAAATGAAAATGTGATTGTTGTTATTTATTTTGTTCACCTGGGAAGGCTCAGGGCAGGACATGGGAGGTCCAGGTGCACACTTAACTCTGCATGGGGACTGAATGAGCATCAGAATTCTCTTGTGACTCTGGGGTGATTTGCACTGCCCTCTCTGGGGCTATTTCCTAGGCACAAACCACATACCACATATATATGCTGGGTGCTTTATTTTTATGATTTGTGGACTAGCCTGGGGAATGTTTTTTGTGTGTGTGGGGGGTGGGTACTGGGGATTGAATTCAGGGGCACTCTACCACTGAGCGACAGCCTCAGCCCTATTTTGTATTTATTTAGAGACAGGGTCTCACTGAGTTGCTTAGTGCCTTGCTTTTGCTGAGGATGGCTTTGAATTCGCAATCCTCCTGCCTCAGCCTCCTGAGCCGCTGGGATTATAGGTGTGCGCCACTACACCTGGCCTGGGACATGGTTTCTGAGCATAGTCCATAGACCATCTTTAGCAGCATCACCTGGGAACTCTGTAAACTTGGAGATGCTTTGACTCCATCCTAGGCTGTTGAATCACAATTTGAGAGGAAAGCCTGGGAAAGTGCCTATTTACCAACTCCCAGTTGATTCCAGTACATACCAATGTGGGTCTAGGAAGACTGGACTGTTTATAGGCTCTGCATACTAGGTGGGAGGAACCTTACCATGCGGGGCTATATGTAGGTATGTAGTGCAAACTACAGTGACCACTTCTTTAGGAATAATTTATCAATAGTCATCTAATTGACCTCCAATGTGCTTCTCTGGACATGAATTTGTGGTCCTCTTCTAGATTCACAGGTGTCTTTTTACTGTTAAATCATTGTGCAGTTTTTAATTTCAGGCCTTTTTACTAGACACCTTTCCAGGAATTGCTTCTGCCCCTTCCTCAGCCAGTTGGTTTTTAGGGAGCCTCTATATTTCAAATTTCTCTGTATCACTGGTCACTGATGATTGATCCAAGGATGGCCACCTGAGCCAATGAGAGCTCTTTCTTGGGGTTTTGAACTTGGGATCAGAGTAGCTGGGAGTCGTCTGGTTGTGGAAGGCAGTCAATTGGGAATCAGGAGCTGTGAGTAGCCATGTTTCTAGCCTTGTGGTAAAGCTAGTCAAAGCAAGTTAGAGACAAGGTTCCTAGAAAGCCATAGTAGGTTTCATGACCTTTCCATAGATTGTTGGCCATTACTTGTGCCAAGAAATCTCCCTCTGCCAAATTATTTGAGTTATAGCTCTGTCATTTGCAACCATAAGAGTTCTGAATAGGATAGTGACTAAAAGGAATGGTTGTTGGTACGCTAGAAACCAGGGGTGATCTCTCAGGGAACAAGCAAATAACCTCTTTAAAATACTATCCATGGTCAACTCTTTGTATCAGGGTCCACATGTCACCTTTGGTACCCATTTTCCATCTGTGAAAAGGTCTGAAGTGCACTTTAGACAGTTTAGGGTGGTCACATTTAAACAAAGGGGTGCTTAAATGTTTAAATGCCACTTTAGAAGTGGTTTTGATTTGCTTTTGCTCCAAGTTACCAAACATGCCCAAGCACTCCACAAAACCCTAAGCATTAATTTTAAAAAAATTTTTTTTTGTAGTTGTAGATGGACAGAATGCCTTAATTTTACTTATCTTTATGTGGTGCTAATGATCAAACCCAGTGGTTCACATGTGCTAGGCCAGTGCTCTGCCACTGAGCTACAGCCCCAGCCCCTAAGCATTAATTTTTTGAGCAGCTCTGTCCTAGAGAAATCAAACAGACCTCCTTAGGTCCTAGCACACAGCTATAGCATCTGAATATCAAGCTGGTATCCTGGAACCCAGGAAATATCTTCACGTGTCTTATCTGAAAAATGTTACAGTTGTCTGAGTACCCCCAATTGCTTATAATAACAAGTTATCATTTTTTGAGATAACCATGTTTTTACATAAATTCTCTCTAATCCACATGGGCAGTTTCCAAGATAGATTTTCTTTAATTTTTTTAGTTGTCAGTGGGCTTTTATTTTGTTTATTTATATGTGACTCTGAGAATCAAACCCAGTGTCTCACACATGCTAAGCAAGCACTCTGCTACTGAGCCACAACCTCAGCCCCTCCAAGGTAGATATTTTGATGCCTATTATAAAAGTAAGAAAACAGGTGAGGTGGTTTGCCCAAAGCTTGTAAGTGGAGCCAGGATTTGAACCCAAACTCTCCCAGTTTGCCTGGGATAGAGCAGTTTCCTAGGACATACAATTTTTAATGTTAAATCCAGGAATGTCTTAGACAAACGGGGATGAGTCTTCCCACCCCAATGTTTGGGCAACCACTTCAGCACATTTCAAAATATTGCCAGTGACAAAACCTGACATCTGGATTCAAGAGCTGCAGGGAAGTCAGTGGGTCACCATCTTGGTTCTTGGCTCTGTTTATCTCAATGTTGGCTTCTGTGATAGGCATCTTCTAAAATAGCTCCAGTGATCCCCATCTCATGGTATTCATGCTCTTGTCATCCTCTCCCCTCGAATGTGAGCCTGACTTTGTGACTTGCCTCTAATGGTGAGACAGTATCAAAGGATGGGATGTCATTTCTGAGAGTAGGTTACAAAAGCATTCTGGCTTTTTTTTTTTTAATAGAATTTTTAAAAAATATTTTTAGTTGTTGATGGACTTTATTGTCTTTATTTTTATGTGTTGCTGAGGATCGAACCCAGTGCCTCATGCATGCTAGGTGAGCACACTACCACTGAGCCACAACCCCAGCCCGCATTCTGGCTTGTTTTTGTCTTTTTTTGGAACTGGGGGTCGAACCCAGGGCTTTGTGAATGCAAGGCAGACGCTTTGCCACTGAACTACATCCCAGATCTCTGGCTTATTTTGAAGGCTTTTTCATTTGATCCTTCTGATGGAAATCAACTTCCTTGTTGTGAGCTGCTCCAAGGAGAGGCCCACATGGCAAGGAATTGAAAGAAGTCTTGGCCAAAAGTCAGTGAGGACCTGAAGGTCTCTGTCAACAAGGAACTAAATTCTACTAGAAACCATGTGAAGCCAGGTACAGTGGTGCATACCTGTAATTCTAGTGGCTTGGGAGGCTCAGGCAGGAGGATTGTGAGTTCAAAGCCAGCTTCAGTAATTTAGCAAGGACCTAAGTAACTTAGTGAGAACCTGTCTCTAAATACAGAAAAAGGGGGCTGGGATTATAGCTCAGTAGTAGAGGCTTGCCTAGCATGTGTGAGGCACTGTGTTCAGCACTATGTAAAAATAAATAAATAAATAAAGTTTAAAAATATATATTCATATACATATACATATATACATATATATACACATATATATGTGTGTGTATATATATATATATGGGCTGGGGATGTGACTCAGTGGTTAAGTGCCTCTGGGTTCAATCCCTGGTACCCCACCCCCAAAAAAAGGAAAAGAAAAAAAAAGAAAATGTAAGTGTAGAAGCAGATCCTCCCCAATTGACTCAGGAGACTGCAGCCCTAGAAACCACCCTGATTGCAGCCATGTGAGACATTAAGGATGAGCCACCCAGCTAAGCTGCATTTGAGTAAATAAATGTTTATTATTTTGAAGTCACCAAGCCTTGGGATAATTTGTTACACAAAAATAGGTAATATAGCTTCTCTCTCAGGGAGGCCTTCTCTACATGAAGATTCTCAGTACCTAGGGGCTTGCACCATTCTAGGTACAAATCAGAGGAGAGAGATTCTGCACCCACCAGTTGAAACCATAGTCTGGGGCTGCCGTTGTGGCTCAGCGGTAGAGCGCTCACCTCACGTGCAAGGCCTTGGGTTCAATCCTCAGCCCCACATAAAAATAAATAAATAAAGGTATTATGTTCAACTACAACTAAATAATAAAAAAGAAAAAAGAAACCATAATCTGAGAAGTGATCTGATTGTATGACTGGGTCATATGCCCAAACTGAAATTAATCACTGTGGCCAGGGAGGATGGAACACACTGATTGAACTTCATAGGTCACATGCCAAGCTGTAGACCCAAGGATGGAGTCAGCCCATCTAAATCACATAAACAGGACCTGATATTTCAAAACCTAGGGTAAGAGAGGATCCTAAAAGCTTCCAGAGAGACAGAGTGGGTTGTTAGGGTGGACCATTTAGAAATCTGTACTAATAAGCTACTGTGGTACATGCCTGTAATTCCAGCAGCCCAGGAGGCTGAGACAGGAGAATGGAAAATTCAAAGTCAGTGTCAGCAACTTAGTGAGGTGTGCTGAGCAACTCAGTGAGACCCTGTCTCTAAATAAAATATAGAGTAGGGCAGGGGATGTGGCTCAGTGGTAAAATGCCCCTAAGTTCAATCCCCAATACCCACCCCCCAAAATAAGTAGTAGTCTATACTGATAAACAAAGTGTAAGAGTAGAAAAAGGATAATTTCAGGCATACAAAGTCTCAAAAATTTACTTCCTATAAATTACTTGGGGACGTGCTCCAACAAAAGAACATAAATCATAGGCTGGGAATGTAGCTTTGTAGTAGTAGAGTGCTTCCCCAGCAGGTGTGATGCCCTGCATTCAATATCCAGAACTATGAAAAAAAACAAAAACAACAACAAAAAAAACAAAAACCCACATACCAAGAAACAGAATCTCTAGCAATACAGAAAACAAGGACAGTAGTCTGGGAATGTAGCTCAGTAGTAAAGTGCTTGCTTAGCATGCATGAGGCCCTGGGCTTGATCCACGGCTATACACATACACAGACTACAACCAAGAAGAGAGAGGTAGGGACTCTCTGACTCTCTGGAATAATAACAAAGAAGTGTTGAAGGACAAGAGCTGTGCAGTTCCTATTTATCCAGACTAGGGTGGGGTGTATAGGAAGAAGGAGAGTTCCAAGGGGAAAAAAATTGAACTGATAAATTATTTGACTTGATTGACTAGGTGCAAAATTGAATTGAAAGCCTTTCACTGAAGCTTTTGGAGATTTTAGGAAGATTTAGTCAAGTTCAAAAACA